AAAAAAAAAAAAAAACCAACAGAAGAAAATTTACATCCAACATAGATTCAGAAGAAAACCCTAATAGTTCAACCGCCATTCACTTACCCAACTAACAGCTCCCAAAAGAGAGCTCAGCCACCAAATCCGTAGAGAGTGCGTCCCTGACGCTTGAGGGAATAGACAACATCCATGGCGGTGACAGTTTTGCGACGAGCGTGCTCAGTATAGGTTACTGCATCGCGAATGACGTTCTCCAGAAATATCTTCAGAACACCTCTTGTTTCCTCGTAGATAAGCCCACTAATGCGCTTAACGCCGCCACGGCGAGCAAGGCGGCGGATCGCCGGCTTAGTGATGCCTTGGATGTTATCGCGGAGAACCTTGCGATGGCGCTTTGCTCCACCTTTGCCCAAACCCTTTCCTCCCTTGCCGCGTCCAGACATCGCCGCTGCTTCGTCTTGCTCTTTCTCTTGACTGGAGAATGGTGTCTTCTGGAGAGAATCATGGGAGATGGAGGGAAATTTATAATGAAGTGAGATCAAAAGATGCGGATGGCTTGGAAATTCAAGAGCTCTAATTTTTGGCGGGATGAGATGGGACGTGCTGACCGTTTGATTTGTAGAAACAACGGTGTAGATGGATCTACTTTGAGTCGCGGATCGGTGACATGGCACGCTTCTGCGGACTATTGTTGCCGGAAAAAGAAATTAATAAAAAAGAGACATTTACAAACAAACCGGCCAATTTGTATATATTTACATATTTCTAACCTTAATTTTACATTTTTTATTTATATCATTCAATTTTTTCATAGAATATCAAAATTACCACCATTTTAATTTAAAGAGTAGAATAAACATATTCATGCATAAAAGAATTAAAGTTTATGTGTTCGATATGTAAATGCATAAAAATTGATTGGTATGTAAACTTATTCATAACATCATACATGCAAGTTCAATAGAGTAGGAAATCAACAAATCAAGTTTAAATGGTAAATTGAAATAAATACTATTTAAACACAAGCAATATAACAAAATAGTACATCATTAAGAAAACTCACCTAAGACTTGCTATAAAAAGAACAAGTGGATCAATCATCATCATAAATCGAATCTACAACTACAAACTATAGTTACAATCCATATCAGGATAG